AAAAAAAAACAACCAACCAAAAAAACAACCAACCAACTAAAAACCAACACCAAAATCAAACCCAAACAAACCACCCACTTGGATAATTAAAACGGTAAATCGAGCTAACTTTTCATTATCTTGCTTGCTGTGTGCTTATATATGTAGATATTTATGGCTTATTTGGCTTCATTTTTGTCATCCGTTGGTTTTCGTTAATTAGCTGCTCTTGTGCTGCCGGAGAACTTGAAATGCTGGGGTTTGAACAGAGCAGGACTCTGTTTCTGCTTTATCCTAAAGTTGGACTTTAGAATGGAAATGAAAACCAGCTTCATACCAGCTTTGTAAATATGTTTACTTGTTTTATTAACCTGAATGTAGATGAGATTTCATGTGGCAGCATCTCGTTAAGTTTGCTTTTCCTTAGTTTAATTTTTGCCGATGCTATCTAATTTGGCATATATTTGTGTATGCTACACACATGCAGTCCTGTATTCTGATTGATTTTGTGTGCTGGTATTCACTCCTGAAAATCCAAGTAGACTTTTAATCTCTTTAGTTTATGATGTTAACAAGTGAACTGTCTTCTGTTTGTATCCTAATTCAACTTGTGGATCCCACCAACGCAAGGTCACCCAAACCAAATCAAGTGGTATTCCTCAGCCTTGTAATTATTTAGTTTCCATTTAAGTGATAAAGCATATTACAATGTTTATAGTTTGTGCAGTTTATATAGCTTCTTAATCCAGTATTTTTTTTGTGTGAGAGGTTATTAATTTTTACAGTCACTGTATTAGTTGGATGCTTTGTGAGACTGGGCAACAGCAGGCTTTCTGCACATTATGAAAACTGACTTTATGAGATTGTGTGTCTTTGCTTTGTTAGATATTATCATTTCATAGACATTTATGGGCTCTACTACTAGCTATTCTTCTTCTCGGAGTATTAACCCAGCAGACATTTACCTGTAGGAAAATAAAAATGAGAGATTAGTTAAAAAAATTAAAAATCAGTGTATAGCTGGAGAAAAGACTGCCTTATTCTCATAAAATAAGAGTATTAGTTGCATAGTTGGAAAAATGACTGATCTGAACTCTGCTGTAAAAACCAAGCTAAACTTCCAAGTTTAACTCAGGAAAAACTTAGCGCAGAGTCTGCAGCTCTTAGCTGCTTTTGTTTCTTTCATTTCTGAGAAGTCTTTCATGTGTTGATGTACCTACCTGTACATACCTGTGCATATGCACCTGCACAGGTGCACGTACCAGCCTGAAAGTGGCCAAGCACAGGACCTGTGATTCCAGGCTGTGAGCCACAGAGGACTACAAACAGCGGTGGGGAGAGGAAAAGGGAGAAGAGATTGACAGCATTTACTTTTGGGCACATATTTTGGTAACCTTAGCTTGGAGACTTGTCTCAGTAGTCAAAGAAAAGAAACAGGACCCCACGTGCCCTTCAAAGCACCTAGCGTGTGCTTCTGCTCTAAACTGCTCCTTGCCACGTTTACATCTCTATTTAAATTCATCTTCCAAATGCTTACATTCATCCACCATTTATCTTGTTAGTGTTGAAAATGGGATGGAATCTGTATTCATTAGTTATTTCTATTCCACTAAATATTAAGATCTGTTGACCCAAGAGGCAAGTATTTTGCTTAGGGACTAAAAATAATCTTTGTTCACGAGCGTACAAAGTGCTGTGTGCTGACACTGCACACTAACTTTCTGCAGTGTTGCATTCAAGGGGAATACCAAAGTAGGGGGGCTTGTGTCTCCTGGACACAGGACATGAGTGGTTAAGGGACTGGTTAGCAGCCCTGCTCAAAGCATTAGTAGCTCTGGGGAACATTACTGCCTGAAGACTGCAAAAGGCACAGCAGTGACCTCTGCATCAGGTTGTTTTAAGGTACTGCCAGCACTGTGCTCTTGGTGCCTCTGCCTCTTCGCAATTACCACTCACAGGCATGATGATAGTGCCTTCTTTCTTTGGTGTGATTTCTGCCCAAAATGGCATAAGTATCTTAAAGTTTCTTCATTTTGACTGGGGAGACTGAAGTGCTCCGCGTGTCAAAGGAGGAAAAAAAAAAAAAAGATAATCAACTCCAAGCCATTGCAAAATTTTCGTAAAATAGCTAAAATAGGGTTTTAGGTAAGTCAGAATTTCTGCTTTCTTACGAATCAAGCCTCTGTTGTTTTTAATTTTTCCCAGAAGCTTTGGACTCCACAGCCTTCAACTCTTTCAGTAAAACCTGAAAATCAGCAAGTTTCCTGGCCTATTTCCTTGTAGAACTCCTCCTTCTACTTCTTTCCCCCCTGCGAGCTCCAAATTACCTGTTTTTTTCATCCAGGCAGCAAATGAAAGCGCTAACAGAATACACTCAGGCAGGAGGCACTCGCTGCTTGTAGAATCTGACTTTCCAATACAAATACTCCTGTTGAGCTGAGGTTACAGACAAAAAGAGAGATGCTGCACATGACATCTCTCAGGTGCCCATGGCATTTTGTGCCACTTCTGAGGATGACATACCACTACTTTAGTGTTCAATAGGACATCAGTGATTAAAATTCAGGTTTCTTCTATAACTTACTGATGCCTGTTTGATAGAAGTTACAAATGAAGGTATTGGTTCTGAAAGAGTAACATCTTTTTGCCCCAGTATTCTTTAAGTTATTAATTGGGAAAAGCCTTATATGTTGTCAGATTCAATGGTTTCCCCCTAGTATTAGCCCTTCATCCAGAAACAGGGTGAAAAATATGCGTATCTTCAAAATGAAAGAGAAATTTACTTTAAGACAGCTTTAGTACTTGAAATCAGTTTTTATGCCTTTGTCTTTTAAATGACTAATCTCCACCTGTGGGTGTCCATTTAACCTGTGAGATAACTTCAGAAACTGATGGAGGCAATTTGTACCATGGAATCTTAAGTGATTAACATTAGGCACACAATATAGTGCATTTTCAGTATTTGGTGGGTTGTATCTCTTGGCTTTGGATGTGTTTTGTTTGCTTTTTTTTTTAATGTTACATTCTTGCCTTCAGGGTTTCTCTACAATTTATGATCACAAACAAAGGTTACAGACTCTCTAATTCAAGCCTCAACTGTTGTGGCATTTTTATACAAATGCTCATTTACTTTGTCATAGCATTTAGCAAAATGGATCAGTCAATGTGATCCATTATTCTGCAACTATTGTGTGAAGAAGTGATTCTGTCAAAAACGTGTCCCCTGGTTATATTTTTTGCTACCTAATTATATATATCAGGCATAATGTTGCCCTCTACTACTACATTATGTTTCTAATTGTATTAAAGTTGGAGAAGTTTCAATGCAAGAACAAAAGAAAGTATTTTTTCAGTTGACATTTGATGTCCATGGTGGGAAAGTTGCACAAGGCTGCTGCTCCTGGCAGACAAGAAGTCCTTCAAGATACACTCTTCACACCCTAACTAAGACCAGGGAACACTTCAGAAAGTGTTGGGACGGTGTATTACATATATTTAATTTCAAGTGTTACTTTCAGGATGGTTCATCTTACGAATTAGTGTTGGAGGGAGAAAAGGGAATTGGTGGTCATTTCCTTCACACTCTCTCCATGTCCTCAGTTCTCCTGCAGTTCCTGGAGGAAGAAAAGCACATGGGAGTACAGTGAACTGTGTAGACCTAGTTATCCTAAGAATTGACTAAACTCTTCTGAGTTCCCCTTGCCTATAGCAGGAGTACAATCACACTGTAATTCAGGTGGCTTACTTGGAAATGGAGGAATTATGAAACTGGGTTCAACTCTTACAGCTGTGCATCTCTGTGTATGCATTTGCAGGTTTTCTGCAAGACAGAGAGCCTGAAACTAAAGGCTGGCTAGCTAGTTTTAAATAGCAAACGTGGCTTGTTCTACCACGAAGCTAGGGACTCCCACATCCCTGGCTTCATCAAAAAATGAGAGGATTTCTATAAAGCAGTAGTTGTGATATTGGTTTTGGGGAGACTACATCAGCATACAAGGACGTAGTTGTGTTGAATGTGCATTGTTTCTTCTTGTCAAAATGCAAGCTGAATTTTGAAAGTTTGGGTTTGAGTGGCAAGCAGCCCCAAACAGAAGATAGGAATTATCAAACTGAAAAAACGGCCACCTACGTTCAATTTTTTAAATTATTTTTTCCCTAGAAATGGTCTGTCACTGTCTTGGGCCTAAATAATTGCATTTTGTAAGAAACCATTACTCCACTATGTTAAGCGACAGCGTTACTTTTTCAGGCTTTGACTGAACTGAGTTTTTATTGATGGTGGAAAATATAAGTGTTTGATGGCAAAACATCCAAAAAAGAATCAAGCAGTCAGCTGGCCCACGTGCAAAACAGCATTATGCCTTAGGTGCTAACCAGTTAAAAAGTCATTCTCTGCTACAGGGAATACTGGTTGGCATAGATAGCTCATTAGCAGGACTGTCACTCTGAGGTGCAAGGAGAGGCTAAAGGTGATCTAGCTACCTACTGGTTTATAGATACGTGCTTGTGCTTATATGCATATGTACACAAACACACATACCAATTTCATGGAGACCAAATACAAAACCTGTATGAATGAACAAAAAGTTGCAACGAATTCTGAAAGAACATTGGGACAAGCTGCCCAGAGAGGTTATGGAGACTCCTTCCCTGGAGATATTCAAAACCCACCTGGATTCATTCCTGTCCAGCCTGCTGTAGGTAAACCTGCTTTGGCAGGGGGGTTGCACTAGATGATCTCTGAAGGTGTCTTCTAATTCCTATCATTCTGTGATTCTGTGAATGTGACCTGCTGGAGAAAGAGGAAACGAAAGCAGAAACAAAAACTGAGAGAGTCACAGAAAGGTCAGATCTATTATGTAAATTTTGGCCAGAGTGGGTGAGAAGGACTGGAAGGAGATTACCTAACCCAGAAAAGCTATTGCTTGTGCTGTAATGAGAGGTGATTAGAATTTGATGAATGTTTTATGATAACAGAAAACCAGGAATTCCTCCAAAGGGTACTTTGTACCTATTGAAGTGTAGTTGCCTTTGGCAGCTTCTCCTGACTTGAGAACTTCTGAGCTCTGCTGCTATAAGTCACAATCAAAAATATGACAATTTTGGAAACTTTTG